AATAATAATATAAAAAATAAACGATTATAAAAATGGGATCTTGCTTGATTAATTTTAACAATTAAAATCATAAACGATTATAAAATGGATTTCAACATTTTGAATAGACTTAATTGTAAAGAACTAGTTCAAAATATTAGAAAATCAACCATAAAACTTGTTAATGCTGAATCGTCGGTGGATTTTTTGAACAACTATATATATATATATATATATATATATATATATATATATATATATATATTAGGGATGCACCGGATTCAGGTTTTTCAAATCCGGCAGGAGCCGGACTTGGCCGGATTTAAAATTAAAAAACCGGCCGGAGTCGGGGCCGGATTTTAGTTACCATTTCACATACGTTAGAAAAAATAATCACATAACACCAAGCAAATCACATAACACCAAGCAAATAGTTATTTAATTCAAATATATGAATAAGTTGTGTGATACGCCAAATTCTGTACACAATGATCAGCTTATAATTTATGCATAATCCATAAAAAAAATTGTCCAGCTCATCTCACAATTAGTGATGTTAATATTATGTGTCATGTATGCACGTGCACAAGTTATTTTACACAAAGATCAGCTTATAATCTATGTATAATCCATGTTATAGCACAAAGAAAATTGTCCGTCCAGCTCACCGCACAATTAGTGATGTTGTAATTCTGTGTCATGTATAGCTAGCCTAACCTTTAACTTACCATGTTCTTAAATTATAAATTTATATATATATATATATATATATATATACATATATATATTATGTAGCTATATGATCCGTCATGTGCAATTATCAATATATAGTATATACACGTGCACAAATTCTTTTACACAAAGATCAGCTTATAATTTATGCATAACCCATGTTATAGCATAAAGAAAATTGTCCAGATCACCTCACAATTAGTGATGTTGTTATTATGTGTCATATATGCCTTTAGCTTAGCCTTTAACTTATTGACATAAAATTAATTGAATTCAATAAAAATTTTTTTTCTGTTTATAACATTTTTAAAAGTTGATAGACGCTTAAATCTGGCCCTAAATCCGGCCACCAAATCCGGCCGGGGCCGGATTCGATCGAATTTGAAAAAAAAGCCGGATTTTGGCCAGGGCCGGAGCCGGGGCCGAACTTCGGTGCATCCCTAATATATATATATATTAGGGTGGGTCAAAAAAATTTTTTGTAGTAAATGAATTCTAATAGCGAAATTATGTTGTAATAAGACATCATAATGAACCATCTAAAATATTATTAAATTATTTTGAGTGGAAGAGCCCGCGCAAAGCCGATGAAGTTTTGTGGAAAAAATGAAAATACAGCCATTCAAAAAGCGTTTATATAAAAACAACGTGCCGTCACATTTAAAAAAAACAACGCTTTGTTGCTATGGTATGGCTCGTTGCTTAGTATTCGTTCAAATACATGCTGATTTTGGTATTTAAATTATGTCATTTATCCTAAAAACCAGTTTTTGGCGGGAAATGCATCTAGAAGTTTTTTTTTTAAAATTCCGTTAATTGTTGTTTTTTCTAAAGTATTTAATTAACGTTAAAAAAAGCATGAAAATCGATGGTATTGATCACAATCGGACTAAAAATTTAAAAAAAAGTTAGCTCGGAAATACGCATCAACAATTAACCGCCAATTAACGCAATTTAAAATGTCAGAAAAGTGTTAATTTCATCAATAAATGATGATTCAAATATAAGTATTTCATCAGCCGAAAAGTTGCACAAAATCAAGAAAAGCCCTTAACTTCTACCTCAAAAACTATGGAAAAAAAGAAGTGCATCCAAAGTTTACCGTTGTTGTCGCAATTATGTGACCGTTATGGAGTGTCTGATAGAACCGGTGTTGCAATTGCTTCAGCAGTTTTACACAAACTTGTCGTGATTGATAAATCGTGACTGCGAAGAGTGAGAAAGATAACACGCCAAGTGAAATGCACCTGAATCTACCTGCTTTATATTTTGATGAACAAAAAGATAAAACATTGCAAATAGTCGCAAACGGAATCAAAAGGTGCAGATAAGTAGTTAATGAAGAACACGTATCTATCAGTGAAGAACCGGATTTCATTTACTAAAAAAAACTTTAGAGGCCCTTGAAATGGATTATTTGCATGCTTCATTTGAATGAACTGCCTTTCAGGCATTTGTTTGATCACATCGACGGTAAAACGTCTGGTCCCTCTTCATACAATGGTCCTATTGGTATGTTGCTGGATGAATGTGAAACGGAAGCTGTAATCGAATTCGAGCCAATACCATGTCAATTATTGACACTAAAAACTGATGATTTGGCAAAATAGTCATCACAAGCTCGTTGATTAACAAAAGCTAACCGGATTTGCGTCTTTACATTTCTACACCCGCACCATCAAATAATTTATTCGATTTGGCTCAATACGTTGTAAAAGTAAATGCCTCCGTGTGGTTTGCCGCGCATGTGCGGGCTGAAGATATGCGTTTTTTTATTTGATTTTTCACTGAAACTATTTGTTATGATGCACTACAATAAAAAAATGGTATTAGAATATGATTGGTCGACTTTTATTTTTTTACATACAAAAGTGACCCACCCTAATATATATATATATATATATATATATATATATATATATAAATATGGGATATATATGGGCAATCCTGAACCCACGGACGTAAAAAAATGAAAAAATTAATCGGCTTATTAGTATGACCCAAATTAAAAGTAAATAAAGATTATTGATGTTCGAAAAATAAAATGAAAAGTTAGTTACAAGATTGTCCTGTCGGCTATCGATATCGGGCTTTATTTGCAAAGTTGGTTATTTGTAAATTTTTCGTTTACTTGTTCATCACGTTACTTAAACTTCAACTATTTAAAAAAAATATTCATTCTTGAATTTCAGTTGATTGATAAGTTTTATACTTATTAACTATCACTCACTCAAAATATCATGTTTGAAACAAAAAAGCTTTTTCGGAAATTTATATTTCCATTATCGATGTTAATTTTCGTGCTGATTATGTTCTTATATAAGTTATTGTTTCTTTGCTCCTATGTTAATAAATCTTGTAAAGTCGATTCCTAATTGTATTTTTATGGGATGGTAGAACCTAGAACGCCAGTGGCCCTTTGTTGAATATTTATAAAAATATAAATCAATATAATATTATAAATAATGGGATGTGTTCAATCAAAAGTGATTCTGCAATTATTTATTTAATTTTAAATTTTATTTGTCTAGTTGGTTTGTGGTTGAAGATGCAAACAAAAAGAAAAAGTGATGGTTGTGAGTCAAAAGCTACAGACAATAAAGTAATAATTATATTTACATCTGCCAGTTGTACCATGATTCATAAAATATTCTCGTTTAAATGCATGTCACTAGTAAAAACTACTGTCATCTTTGTTTATGTATTTAATTTTTAAAATTCTAAAGCTAGACAGTATGTTTAAATTTAAAAAAACAAATGCAATAATAAAGCAGTTTTTTTATCGTTTTAAATTTTACAATTGATCTTATATTCAAACCCTTATGTAACCTAATGTTTTATTTTATAATTGAATTCATAATTGAAAATTATGGGTATATCATTTTGTTATTTTTTAAAATTCTAATGTCTAATATACATTCTTATATATATATATTATATGTATATTATATATATATATATATATATTTTTATTTGCAGGCTGCTAAAAAATTGAAAAAGACTGTTGGATTGGATGATGTGTGAGTTTTTAAAATTTTTTGAATCACAAAACTTAATGATATTCCATGCCTACATTCTTTTGATTTTTGATCGTGATACAATTATTATCTTTTTTTTTTTTATATGTACAGTTTATTTAAATTTGATCATCTTCCCATATATGCTTTCTTTCAATGTGTAACGTTTATGTTGTTTCTGTAACGTTATACATTAGTGGTAAAAAAGGTGATGAAGATGCTGCAATTGACTCAGTTATTAATGTTCCGTCGGATGAATACTCATCTAACAAAAGTATTTGTTCAATTATTATCCATTTATTCATGTTTCATCACTTTTTGGTCACCTCATTCTTCATTTCAACAATGTGTGACAATGTTTTCATGATTAAAATAAATTTTTTCAACTTTATAATAAAGCTTTAATTTAATAGCTATTTTAAAAAACGCTATCAAAGTAATAAAAGAAATAAGCACATGTCTGAAATTAAATGAAGGTAAATATAATCAAATTAATGTTGTTTTTTTTATATATAAGAGCATGAATGTCCAATATTTTAAAACTTTCTTAGTGTTATTAGGCAAAACATTAACATTAAGAGAACCAGTTTGTTTCACTCTTTAACAACTCTAACTAAAATATTTTTGCTTTATAGTTTTTTATATTTGTGTCACCTTGTTTTGTTGTTAATCCTAAGCTCAAATAATTTGCTGATTTCAAATCATGATTGATGCCTGTTATCCTCAGGTTAAAACATATGCAGAAAATTTTTTCTGTGCGTCATTTAAATAAACAGCACTACGAGGAAGCCTAATTTGTACTATCAATTTCGTATATTTTTAAATTTTTATTCTGAAGCTTTTTTTTAAAAATGTTCACTTTTCCAAAGTTTGCTCTGTTTAGAAAAATTTTTTTCAGAAAAAGTTTCAAAACCTGCAAGCCCAGTTCGAACGAGTGCCAGAATTTTTCAGAAACTAAGACATAAAGAACCAGTAGAGGCAACTCTCACGAAAGACAACACAGCTAAGAAGATTAATTGTGATAAACGAGTTGAAGTTGTTAATAAAGATGCGAACCATTTGGTAAATAAGGCAATAGTTTACGCTCGCCTTCCAAGTGGTGAAATAATAGGAAACATCATAAAACAAACAAGTAACAATGGCAACTTTAATAAACTTTCTGTCCAGTCAATGGCTTCCAATGACAATGTGAAAGCAAAATCTTTGAAAAGCAAGAACACTGGTACTTCATCTCAGACTCTACTGGCACAATATAATAAAATTGATTGCCCGATTGACGAGTTCAATGTTGAGGAGGTATTTTTAAACGTTATTACCTTTTACATTTTATGCTTATATTATGCACAAAAAGTTATATATCTGCTTTACATCAGGTTCTACATACATCCATCCGAGCCACTCAGTCTATGCGTATGTTCCTCTCATCAATAAGAGATGACTTGAAACGCTTAGTGGCTACCTCAACTCCAAGTTCAATGATCACTGCTGAACAGATAAAAAAGAGAAAAGATTTAGCAGATAAATTACACCGAGCATACAGCGGTTATAAACATGCAATCAACTGTGAGTTGTTGGCGATTGACAAAAAAAGTAAACAATTTAGAACGGCCAAGATATCAAACAAACTTACTTTAACGAAGACATATTCAAACGAAACCGATGTCATAGAATTATCTGAGGAAAGTGATGTAGAATAATTTGCTTAAATGTTATTATTTGAATTAACTATTACAAATTCAATCTTCAAGTTACTTTCCCTGTAGTTGAAGATGATCCTCTTTTTTATTGATAACCGATTGATGCAGATCACACAAACTGTGGTTGACATTGTCGATTTTCAAACCACTAGACCATTCTTAGCAGCTCTATTTCTAATTAATTCTATTTCACCTTTTTTCTTATTGACTGCAATAGACATGTTGTTTAACAGTTTATAAAATCCATTAAAATTGCTATTTCAATAATCTATATTGAATGTTTGAATAGAATAAACGCCGGAATAAAACAATTTAACGTTTCACGGTCAAATGGGTCAGATGATTAACTTGGTAAGATGGCTAGGTTAAACAACAATCCTTGTTTACTATCTTGAGGTGTCCAGGTGTCCTTTGTGCGATCAAGCATAATACCAAAATTATTAATGGGAAAACGAAAATCAATATTTAAAGCTAGGTGAAGCTCCGTTTTATTTTTATTCATCGTGAGCTAATTATTCATCTTTGTTTAACTTTTTAAAACGACAAATTCTTGACCGCGTTACCGACAGGTTAAAAACTAAATTGCCAAAGTGGTGAAAGCAATTACAAGTCACTCGCAAAAGCACAATACATCAATTTTAAATTTTTGATACTTGACATTTGTGTTTGTTGAAAAATTTCATCGGAATCGGATTTATTAGTAATTTCCCGCATGTCGGAATTTTAAAAAATTTGTTGGAATTTTAAAAAATTACGTTTGATTTGGTATTCCGCAAACAAATGCAATCAAATACGAAACCTGATATTTTAAATTCGCAATTCCGCGTAGTCGGAATTAGTTTTCAGAAATTTTTCTAATAGTTTTTCGGTCTTTTCGATCATTGTTGATTTTTTAAATAATATGGATTATTATATTATATTATATTAAATAGAAATATATAGTCGAAAGATGTGTCAATAAAATTGGTTTGTTTATGTTGCATCATTAATTACCTTATTAAATTACTTTATTACTAAATTACTTTATTTATTTGTCTTTTTATGCCATTACTTTATTTTATTTTCATTACTATTCATGTTTAAACATTTTTCACCGTTTTTTATTTATTTTTTTTTTCGTTAACATTTTTTACTATTGTCTTGCATGCTGTAACAGTTTCTGCGTCTGTCAGATCCTGATTTTTAAAGAATAATAAAAAATTAAAATCTTTGTAATGTACGTCGTAAAAAAAACTATTCTTAGGTAACTCCGACATTATAAATTAAATTTCTAACATAAATCCGAAATGTAGTTGGAGCTAAGGCACTTTTCATAAATTTTATCAAAAACTTGTGATATCGTCATATCGTCGGAACTTTGACTAGGTTGCATATAATCGAAATTTTTTATTTCAATTTTGACATGTCGAAATTATTTCGTCAGAATTTAAAAAAATCAGAATCTGACGGTATCTAAAATTTGTGATCAAACGCGAGCAGAATCAGCGGAACGCAGACCCTTAGCAATGAATAGTAAAAGCAACAGAGGACCTGAAACCAAACCCCGAGCTATTCTAGACAAAGCTAACCTATTATCTGACAATATATTAGACAAAATTATTTGTTAAACCATATCAAATAAGATTCAAAAATAGATATAACTTCATTGGAAGTATGATGGAGTTTATATGCAAGTTTTTGTATTATCTATAAAATTGATTGCTACGGTCGTGTCTTTCTTATCTCATAATAAATACATTGGTACAAACTATTTTGATGAAATATTTTTCAGCACTGGTTGCATCTTTTAAATGATAGGATACTATATACATCGGCGCCAACTTAAGGGGGCAAAGCACTTTTTGCCCCCCCAATATTTTTTCAGGGGGGCAAAGTATCGTTTTGCCCCCCCCAATAATTTTGACTTGAAAATTCAGTTTTCAAAAACGTTTCATTGTTATTTTTAATCAAAATTCGTGTTTATTTACAGTTAAACTTTTTTGAGCGTTAGTCTTAAATAAGTAAAGCGTTCAATCAGTAGCCAACTTTTAAACAATTTTTTGCAGCGTTTCCTCGTGTTACCATAGCAACAAATCGTTAAAATCGATTTAAATTTAAAATTGTCATCACGTTGTTTCGTACGCTTTTATTTGTTAACCGGTAAAAGTAAGTGTTTTTAATAAAATTTAATTAAAAAGCTTTATATAAATATAAACTGCATTAAATTAAGTTGAATGAATTTGATTGAATTTATTTCCTAAATTTCATTTTATTAGAACAAGTTTGAAAAAATAAAAATGGATAAGTTTTTGATAAAACTGCCAGCCAAAACATCCGGGACTGGAACGGTTTCAGAAGACTCAATTATCCAAGAAAACACCACAGTAGCGGATACAGATTTAATAGAAGGCACATCCACTACTGTTACCTCTGGTAGATTTACGACTACAATTACAAAACTTCGCTTTGTTCCAACTTGGACCAATAACTTTCCCTGGATTCTGTATGATTCAGAAAAAGATATTGTTCTTTGTTCCACGTGTCGAGAAATATTTTTCACAATGGGTCTGCCGTTTTCTTCTAAAAAAGAAACCGCTTTCACTGAAACGGGTTTTAATAATTGGAAGAAGGGGTTGGAAAAATTTAAATTGCACGAAAGATCACAATGCCACAAAGAAGCCGTATTTAAATCTCATACCATGAAGTTATCAGTTAACGTTGCTGCACAGGTGATTATATAGTTTAATTTGTATTTGACATGACAGGTTATCCTAAAATGTAAACAAGGTCTTGCAATACGTGGTGACGATGATGACGCAAGTAATTTTGTAAATTTACTTAAGTTAAGAGGTGAAGATTCTGAGGAACTGCAATTGTGGCTAAAATCTGAATCATATACTTGGTGTAGCCATGGTATACAAAACGAAATTCTTGATCTTCTGAGCCATACTCTTCTTAGGAAAATAATTTCATTAGTTAAAATAGCGGGTTTTTATGCTATTATATGTGATGAGACGGCAGATATATCTCGCAAGGAGCAATTTGCTTTTTGTCTAAGATTTACAAAGAATCCATTAGAAGCAGAAGAGATGTTTGTCGGATTTTACGGAGTGGAATCTACAACCTCAGCAGCTTTGTATTCGGTGATCAAAGATGTTCTTCTCAGATTTAATTTACCACTGTCTAACTGTAGAGGACAGTGTTATGACGGTGCTAGAAACATGGCTGGTGACAAACGTGGTGTTCAAGCTAAAATTCTTGAGGACGAAAAAAAAGCATTATTTATTTATTGTTTGGCTCATTCATTAAATTTGGTAGCTCAGGACGCAATCAAAAATTTTCCTATTTGCAGGGATGCATTAAATATGGTTAAAGACATCATCAACTTTGTAAGGGACTCGCCTAAACGATTGGCTATATTTCACAATTTAAAATCTGATGTTTGTACAGGCCTCCGACCTCTTTGTCCAACCCGATGGACAGTCAAATATGTCTCTCTGTCGTCTCTTTTATCAAACTACTCAAAATTAATAGATTTCTTTACCGATATGGCTGAAAATGATTTATCAGATTCTGGTGCAAAAGCTTCCGATTTTTATTTTACTTTGATAATGTTAACAAAATTATTTGGATACAAAAATACGGTTAACACAACGTTACAAAAAAAAAATCCTTGCAATTTGAAGAAGCGCATCGGATGATTGCAACATTAAAAGCCAGTCTCAGTTTTTTCCCAAAAGATTTTTCTGAATTTTGGTAGAAAGTAATTTTTGATAAACTTGCCGAGGTAGAACAAGGGGAACTTAGACATCAGAGAAAACGAAAAATTCCAAAACGATTCGAAACTAATGATTTGCCAGAACCACAAAATAATTTTTCTCTAAAGGAGATATATCAATCGCAATATGTGGAGATTATTGATGCGATTTTAAAAGCACTGGATACGAGATTTGAGAGCAAATCATTCAAATTCATTTTGGAAATCGAGCAGTTTTTGCTAGGTGACGATACAAACAAATCTAAGATTCTCAAATTTTATGAAGAGGACATAGATCCAGACCGCTTGATTGTGCAACTAGAGATGCTGCTGCAAATTTTAAAAGAAGCAGATCAATCCCTTGAAAGTATAAACGATATCATTAATTATTTGAAAAAGCAGTCACATCTAATTGAACTTCTTTCGGAATTAGTCAAGTTTTTAAACATTTTTGTGACCATTCCTACGACTTCCGCCACCGCTGAACGATCATTCTCTGGGCTGAGAAGATTAAAAACATATCTAAGATCGACAATGGGACAAAAACGACTCAATTCTGTATCTCTTCTTCATTTTCACAAAGATGTGGCAAACGAAATGGACTTGGATTCAATTATTAACGAATTTATTCAAAGAAATGATCAGAGAAAAAGTACATTTTATATGTAAATATGTTTAAGTATGATTCTTAGAAAAACACTCAATTTTTACAAATACTATTGTGAATAAAATTAATAGAAAGAAGTAACATTTTGCTTTTTGGATTTATAAACAATATGCGTTTATAGGATTCCAAATTTTCAGATTTTTTGTAGTTTTATTAAATTTTAAAATTTTGCAATCTTTATGCCGTTTTGTCGAATTGCGGTTTTGATGATAAATTTTTAAATTAATAATTTCACACTTTTGTATAATTGTAAATTTATTAAAGAATGGTACGCAAACTAAATTATTATAGAAAAGTTTGCAAACGTATTCTTAAATTATTTTGCCTCCCCAATAATTTGATAAAGTTGGCGCCTCTGATTATATATGTTTTATTCGAAAACACATTTTTTCAGAAAATACTACACTAATGTTCTAGCTATATGGTTCTCCCTTTTAAGTCACTTAACTCAAAAATTACAAAGTAAGAAAAAAAGTTTCTGAACTAAGCAAAGAACTATCTTTCAATTTATTTCTAAAGTCCAATTTGTTAATTTACACACATTTTAAAAAATATTCTCATTTAAATATTAAAATTATTTAATTTTCGAATTAGAGTTATAAAATTAACAAAATTGAAACCAATATAGAATTCTTTAAAAAATAAACCCGAATACACATTCACACAGATGCCCGGCCTGAACAATTCTATCTTTTCTTACTTTTTTATTCTTTTATTGTGTTTTATTTTTAATACCCTTTTTTTTCTTTCATATTCGTTTCGCCTATCTTTAATCTGTTAGTTAGAGATATCAGTCATAATTTTTTTAAGAGAGCATTTGAAACATAATTTTTTCAACAAATCAAAGCACATTTAGCACCTAATCTGAAGGTTTCTATATATATTTACAATACGAAACAATAAAGTAAACATTAAAAAAAAATCTTTACAGTTTTCAAAGATGACATAACGTGTATTTCATTTATAATGCAGTAATTCATAAATAATAATGTTTTACTCGAATGAAACGCGTCTATCTACGTAAATATTTATTTCTAAATTACCGTGTTTTTCAGTTTGCGCTACCTGTGCCAGTCTTTTATGCTCAATGTTAAAACGTCAAGTACAGCAGTACTTTCTTATATTTGCGTGTCCTAGCGAAACCATATTTAACGTTTATAATAAAGATTATTAATTAATCTTTTGCAATATTCAAAATATGAATTTTTATTCAAAGTATTTAAAATAAAATATCTGACGACATGATTAATGATTTTTAAGTTGTCTGGTTGTACGAGCTTGTGATTAGGGTCTTGATTTAAAACAGAATGGCGAATTTAAGCTGTAGAGGTAACACATATTATTGCCCTCAATGTGGCATGATCTTTCTAGTCTGTAATAACAAAGGTAAAATTTTGATGTGGTTTTCGTACGATTGTTCTATTTATAATATTACGATGTTATAGCAATTGCCGAAAGATCGTTCGAGTATCGGGAAAACTCACAGAAGGTAATCGGAATTATATTTTTTACTATTCTTTTTTTTACTTTACCAAATTTTTATACTTTTGATGACATTTTATTACCCATGATATGAAAGAGTGAAAAGGATAGATGTGTCATTCCTCAAAATAGCGCCTATCAATGTTACTGCTGTTATTGCAATGGAGTTATGGAAATGTTCTGCTGTCCAATAACTGGAGGCGATTTTGATAACTTGGATGCTAAACGACGAATTAATGATGTGACAGGCGATAAAAAAATTGAACGCTCGAATTATAAAACATCAACCGCCAGCGCAGGCGGATTACAAATATCAAAAAGAGTTAAAGGAAGAAGTTCTAAAACATTTAAAGACAAATTAAAGAGCAAATATAATAGTTATATTGGGTCCGGTTCAAAAGATTCATTAACAAATGAAACACCTAGAAAACTAACAAATTTTAGAAAAGATAAGACTACTAAAATGAACATGACTACGTTTTATGGAAAAGGAGCCAAAGATAAGATGCAAAAATCTGTTTCTATACTGAATGAAAAACAAGGCAAAAACTTAAAAAAATTTAATCAAAATCAAAGTGATGCTATAAAACAAAAAAACAAAATACATGCAGATAACCCACAAATAAAATTGAATAAATTGATCCAGAAAGAAATTGTCCGAACTTCTAAAATGAACAATATCTCTAAAGAGGTCACGCTAGCTAGATTACAACAACAAAAAATTGAACACGACGCCAAAAATTACGCCAAAAAAAGTGTTATGCTTAAAAAATCTGATAAATTAAATAAAAAAACAATTAACAACAAAATCAATAAAATAGATTCATATAATAAAATAACAAAAAAAAATTTTCAGAAAGTTCGTGAAAAACAGAACAATATAATGTCTTCTAAGCGAACAATCTCAAATGGCCAAAAATTCATTGATAAATTAGTGAGTAATCGACGTGAATCTAAACATTTATCAGCAAAAGATTTAAAAGCGATCGCTTCGAAATCTAACAACCGAGAAAAAGTAAAAAAAATTTTTGAAACCGAAGATGGTTTTTCAAGCGTGCTACCGATATATAAAAAAGAGAAATTGGCTGCAGAGCTAGCTGGTGAAAAGAATAGAGCAAAACTGAAAAAAAGGCTAGAAACGGTAATGACAGGTAATTCACTGTCTGGTTCACTTCAAGATGAGAATTCTTATGATGATGAACCTGAGTCTAAAAATAGTCTATCATCTGAAGTGTCAATAAGCAAGAAAGAATCGGTAAGAAAAAGCCAACTCTCCGAGAACAAACTGTTAAAAAATAACGCGCAATTTATTAAAAGTCAAAAAGAGGCCAATTTTGTTAAAAGACTAATGCTTAGAAAATTAGTTAGTAGTCGAAGCTTAGGGGACATGATAGAAAAAAAGATGAAAGAAAGAGAAAATTTTTTAAAATCAGAAATATACAATGATGACAGAATTTTTGATGAAGATGTATCTATTTTCAAAAAACAAGTGAAAACTCCTGAATCTAAACGAACAAACAAATCAAAATTTAACAAAGGGCAGCTTCCTAAGTTAACTTTGTATGATAAAATAAACGCAAAATCTACGCTGTATGAAAGGGTTAACAAAAAATCTAAGTTAATTGAGCGCGTGCGTAACAGGTCGGTGTTAAGTGATGAAATATCAAAAAAATCTTATAAATCTGATAAGAAAAAATGGACGAAAAGCAACGCTGCTATTAAAAAACCTTTGAGTTCTGAAGACCTATTAGTAAAGTCTAAAATATCTGACTATGCAAAACCGTCAATAATTGAAAGGCATGGCAATAAATTAAAAATCTTTAAGAGAATGAATAGGATGGGATCAAAACCTAAAATCGATACGATTGATAATAATGTTGTTAAAAGGACAGTCGCTGATCAGGACGTGGTGAAACCTAATTTGTTTAACAAATTCAATACAAAACCTTCATTACCTGCTCAAGACAATTTGCAGTCTCTTGAATTCGAAACAGATAAAACCCCATCCTATTTATTGTTCCATCAAAACTGTATCACAGGAAACAATCCATTACAACTGTTTCAGTTTGATTACGATCAGATTTTGCGCTACCGACAGAACCTCATAAAAGAACGTTGGGGAACCTTGAGTCCCTTACCACATTTTGGTTGCAAAATTGTAAATTGAAATGAAGTTCTGACTGAATATTTTTTAAATTATCAACAATTTTGTCACCTTACCTCTAGTGTATATCAACATCTTTTTTTTCAATTATCCTCGTTTTACAAATACTAACATACAAAAATTTGAAATGTATGTTGATCACCCATTGAACTCAGATCAGACTGCATTTTTGTTAAACCGAAATTTATCATTTTATAGTTTAATAATAATCTTCCAGCTTATTTCTAAAATCCTTGACATAAAATTATTTTTATTCCACTTAAGCTTAGGAGATTCGCTAGTGACATTATTCTAAAATTAAATTATTTTTTACCGATTCGCACAAATAAATAAACGGATAAATAAATAAATATTTAAAAATATATATACAAATGTTATTGATAATATTTCATTAATATGCAAAAATATATAAAGACGGAAAAATCATACTGTAAATTTTTAATTTTATTTCTCACTTTAATCGATCTTTGTTCCGGTTGTTTTTATTAAATTATGACGTAAACGATCGATCAATTTTTATTTAAACATTACGAAAATGGCCGAAAGTGGGAAGAAAGAAGCTAAGAAAAGTATTTTAAAAATAAATTATTTCAATCTTCTACTATTAAGCACATCCCATTCAACTTAATCTATGACATTATTAAACACTTCCATTGTGAAATACACTCAAGCACTGAGAAAATTTTCTGTATGATTCTAAGCAGTATGGAAACAATTGTCCCGTGTATCAAACTCCTAGACGATAGATAACATTTGTATGGACAAGCAACTTTTGATGCCAGCTTGAAATAGAATTTTTGTATTAAAACGGCCAAAATGTTGCAGTTCATGATACTTATAGTAAGACTTACAAAACTATTTAATTTAGACACGGTGTGAATTATGGAAAGAATTTAAACACACAAAAATTTTGTATCATCGATTTTAATTTTTTCAAAAATTAAACATTTCTAACTGCAACAAAATCTAGCAAAAATTTAGAAATATTTAAAAAGTTGCGTTTTGATTTGAATTAGAATGCCATTAAAAATTAAATTGAATACTAGGATAGTTTAATGATTCTCAATTTTGTAAAATACAATCATAACTTTCATCAATTCTAAAGGATGGGCTAGAAAAATGTAAAGGTTTTGCCGAAAATATTATAAAATTGCTGAGAAGAAAATTTTAAGTTGAAATTTTTAATATAAATCATTCATCCTGCACATTTAATTTTTTTTAAATTTATATCATAACATCTACAATAAACAAAAGTTTTTATTTTCATTTTACTAAAATAGTATCTATGAATAATTCACTTTATTCACTTATTAAGTTCACTTTCAGATCCCAAAAAAGATAAAGATGCTGATAAAAAAAATTCTAAAGACAAACTCAACAAAGAGGATGAAAATAAAGATAAGGAAAAAAAAGAAGAGGATGACATGAGTGGAGTGATCCTTAAAGGGCTTGAACAATTGAATGAACTTGTGAAAACTATTGAAGAGCAGGTTCTTGCTACTTTCATTCATTTTTGAATTTGTTATACATTGGTATACGGCGTGACCATTACAAAACTGCATGCTCAGGTTACTGAATACATCAAGAAGAAAGGTCCTTTAGAAATGACGGAACAATATTGCACGGGACCGATAACAAATTGTGGGCCTTCATGTTTGGTTACGACTTTCCAGCCTTGTTGTTGTCCTCCACCCTGCTGCAAACCCGTCCCAAGAGCCGCCCCATGTGCTGGAAATTACAGCACCCCTCCGAGGTGTCCTTGTTGCGGAACTATCTGCTCACAGAAATAGCATTCAAACAAATTCAAACGCACTACCTTTTTTACATATTTAAATTTCATACTGGCAAATTTTGTATATCATGATTTATCGAGGCTATAACAAATTAAAACATCATTATGTACGGCAAAATAATTTTTGATTATTTCATAAAAAGCGCTTAACAACACCTTTGAATTTTTTTTTTTTGAAATTATAGTTGACCAAAAACACAATTAGACATTACGAAATAATTTCATAAGCATTTGTCTTGAGCCTATAGTTTTGGTTAGACGTGGCAAAAAATTTACACGAAGTGTGGACGAGAAACAAAATTTTTAAACGATTTCTTATTAATTCTCTATTAATTCACGAATATATTAACATTCGACGCACAAGAATATGCGTGAATCAACGCACCCCACCATTAGTACGCCAACCCTCAACTAATGCAATATTTGATGTGATCTGCCAGAACGACACCTTGTATCTCCGAAACATGCACCCCGTTCATCTAATGCGCAAATTTTGTATTGGGGATTTAGACTCGGTTCTTCGCTACACAATAAATGTCTAGCGATAGAAAATTGAACCATTCTTTCCAACCTTTCGCTTACATATTTTAATTCGTTTGATTTCTCTTCTTTCAATTACAAACATTTGGGAAATGAATTAAAAAATCGCAAAACTTACATGACGAAAATAAAGTTTTAAATTTTCGATATATTTTTTATTCAATACGCACTTGTTCTCAATGTAACGTTAAATTCTTTTAATTAAAAAATTTTGATTAGACCCGTGTTACGAAATTTATTTTCTAGCAGCTGACATATAAAACATTATATGCAATACGATAAGAAATGTCCTAATTTTAAATATACACTTTTTGTCATCACCTAGACAAAACAGTAAAAAATAATTAAAAAGTTAAAACAAGTAAAAAACGTTCATTAAACCATTGCATCACTGGAACATGTTTTCGATTTTAAACTAGAAAATTCGACGAAAAAAACTGTCAACTTCTTTCTTATGCTGAGAGACTTCATTTCTTATACAGTTTATTTCCTCTTTTAAAACTTCTATTTCATGTTTGACCAACTCAAAAGAATGATTAGACATACCTTGATTTTTTGACTGTCAATTAAAAAATTGTTATTATTTGAATAAAAATATTCAATCCACTGAAATTACCTGAAAAAGTTTGTGGTTCAAGGCCTCAAAAGCAGTCAGTCTATTATTTGGATCCTTTTGCGTCAGTTGTATTACTAGATCTGCCTAAGTATTTGATGAATGTTAGTGGTAAGCATTTAAAATCTACTCAAATGAAATCATATAGTATGGCGGCTCAGACGGTACTCCCACCGTCATACTGTCATATTTTGCGTTGCTGTTATTGCACGGTAATTCGGTTCAACTGCCTTATCCGAAAATCAAGCTATCCTAGACCCCGGACGTATGATGCGGTGCTTGCCAGTAAATAAAAATGTTTATTTGCTTCGCCTGGTATGGCAACAAAGAAAGGAACAATTTGCGAGCAATTATTTTGTCTTTGTAAGTGCTGCACAACAAAGAACCAAGCAAAGAAAAAAAATTACTTCCGACGGATGTTCTTGCTGGAATTTTTGGTCTATTTCAGAATGTGATTTCAATTGATCAAATTTTTTATATTTTTCAGATTTTGACTGCATAGGACAGAATATTTCATATGCAATTAAGCCTACGCTGTACAAATCTGCCTAACAAAATAATTATAACAATTTTATTTAAACATTGAAGCTTACAGTTAAATTTCTACTACTTTAAAATCGTATGAACTTCCTTGAATTTCAGGAGCTATGTATGGCTGCGTGCCAACATGTGATGTTAATAACACTTCCTCCTTTTCAACAATTTCTTTGGTGTTGCCATCGCACGATAATCTTATAATAGAAGAATCATTTTTTAAATGTTAATAACAAACAAATGCATAGACATTGTTTAAATAGGATTTAAAGACATCAGCACTATAAATTATTTCAAGTTAGACACAGATGTTAGTTTGGAAATGTTTAGGATGCGGCAAAACGTACCGATCTCTTGCAAAATTCAACGCAACCAGAACATTCAACCATGAATAAGCAATGCTCATTAGTGGTTAGTTTTCAAACATAAAACAACTCACTTCAAATATAATTCCCTAGATAAACCAAAATCCGTTATTTTTATCTGTAACTTATCGCAATCCATAAGAATATTCAGCGGCTGTAAATTAATATTTTTTCAAATCGTCATATTAAACAATTTCATTCACGACAATATATCATAACATTAAATAACCACGATAAAAAGTAAATTTGGTTATTGAAAAAAAGTTTGTCATTAAGAAATGTTCCCCTACTAAAAAAATTAAAAGAACCATAAAAAATCTACGACAAGTAGAAGTATGTTTTACGTTTGCATCCGCATTTTTAGGCAAATCGCGTTTTGGCGTGCTAATATCAAACAACTGAAAATGTTGAAGGCTTACAAATTTTTACGAAAATTAAAATTATACCAAAATTGAACTATTTTTTTTCACGCTCCAAAATACATGCATATATACAAACATAAAGGCAATAAAACCGATAAATTTGATTTTTGAAGTTGAAAACGCAAAAAAGTGAGAAAATTTTTCTACTGAAACTTTTTATGAAAAATATGCAAAAGAAATTTATTAAAAAAAATGATGAATTGGAATATGATACAAAATTCCTCAGTAAGAAAACTGTTGCGTGTAGAAGAAGTAATACCTTCAGGTCCCTATGGATGACGTTCATACTGTGCAAGTGCTGAATGCCTCTCAATATCTGCTCCATTATCGTTCTATTGTCTTCATCTTTAAAACTCTCTACAAACAACATTGCATAAAATCAGCTGTACAAAATAAACAAAAAATAATGATAATAAGATAAATTTTTTCTGCAAAAGTTTAAACATTTTTTTGGAATTCGGAACCCGGAGTCAAAAGTTGGAAATTTTTACTCGGAGTCGGATTGTTTTGATGGGCCGAAGTCGGATATTTTTCATCTGACTCCGACATATTGTACAGAACATCGGAATGTCAGCATTATAAAATAATGCTAACACAGTTGAAGACGACTAACACCAACCAACGACACCTACAGTCCAGCGTTTGCTACTGAACAGTAGTACAAGTTGTAAATGAAGAAAACGCAAGCATGAGTGCTTATTGTCACAACTCACCTTTTTCATTTCTTACATCAAGCCATTTTTCTAACGTTGATGGGCAAAATTCCATTTGTATGTAGAGTTGTACGTTTGACTGCAAAAAAATTTTTTTTAATTATGCTGTTAAATAAAATTTTTTATGAATAAAATATTTTCAATAATAATTCAAATGAAGCATAAAAATTAATTAAATAAGAAAATGTTAAACAAATAGTTCAAATAACAATAACAAATAAATGAACAGTTAGTTACTAAAATCTGGTTTCGTTACCAATCATATATACTCACTGTAGCTGAAGTGATGTTATGATATCGCTGCTGAACCAACGCCAAGTTATCTTTTCTGGAAAAAATAATTTTATATTTAAATAGAATTAAATTGAAAAAGCCACATCCATACTTTTTGTGGCTATGCTTCATTCCTTCTCGGCTGTGCACCGGGTTAACTACATAATAGTGAAGGAACAATAAAAATTATCTACATTATTCAATGACATTATTACGAAATGGACTTAGTGGGTAAAAATAATGCATTCACATGGTCATATAAATATATTATGAAAATAAAAAACACGGTAAATTGCTTGCTAAACTATTTATCATTTTGTCAAAAAATATAAATACACAAACAATAAGCGAATAAATAATATTGACACAAAACGGATGCAAAAATAAGTATTAAAATTTAACAAATAAAATGTAAATAATCGTAAACCAAAAATTTCTATCCGAATTTGAAACCATCCATTCAATCATAGCCTACCAGTTCAACCTCCAACAACAAACATCCAGGCATACAACTGAATGTCTGCTTTCCAGTTGTGAACAATAACAAGATTGTTGCAACGTTTTTTTGAAATAATGTTGACACAACATGTGTAATTTTGAAATTACGAAAGTGCTATGTGAAATGTACATTATGTAAAAATTAGGACAGGAAAATAATAATATGAATTTAATTGAGAACCAATTCTTAACACGAACCGCTAACCGACTATTAACATAAATTTCAATGCAGTTTTCTAATTTGATGGCGATTTCCACTCAACAATGTTTTTTAAAGACTCTTGCCTTAAATCCTCTTCGTACCTACTGTCATAATTATATTCTGTAAAGAATCCTCTCACTCTCCATTCTTTTCTGATAATTTCTGAAACGTCCTCAACCAGTTTAGGCTAAGATGACTTGATCGTTTGGAAAAAGACAAACAAAACATGATTTTTGTTACGCCACTCCAAGGAACAAAATGTTTTTAAACTCAAACACATTTTGATTGTAGATATTAAATTAACTAAAATAAGCAAAGTTTTTAAAAACGTAAAACAAAGACGCTCTTTAAAAATCAATAAATTTGTTATAAAAAATAATTTGTTTGAAGAAAGAATGCCTCAAGTAGCAAATGACTTGCCTAATTCAGACCACGAGTTGTAATACCTGACTACATTGCTGTGAGATAACCTACCCAGTTGTTGAACTTCTCTTGAAAACGTCTGTAAAAATGTATTTAAAAATTATGAAGAACCATGAAATTCTCTACCCTGAACATAAATATGACGTAAACCTCAAGATCCTCTTTTGATCCTTTCAGTTTGATTACTTTTACAGCATAAATGTTATTGTCTGAATACTTTTTAACCTAAAATAAAAACAATGGTCTAATAAAGTAATTAATTCATGAAACGTTTTTTATTTCAAATTGTACTAGCCCAGGTGAGCAGTCAATTAAATCAAATTAAATTAAATCGTTTAAATTCTGAGAGGATAACAATTTACATAATGTAAGAAAATTTTAAAAGGAAATCGTTAATGAAGAGGGATGCAAGGATACATAACAATCGAAGATTATTGAACAAGTAACGGACGACGTTAAAAATTCATTGATGCAAAATAAATCGTTAGAAAAATTTGAAATTTAAACAAATTCAAATCTGCTGTTCCAAACAGCAGGGATCTGATTGAATAGTTCCAATTAACAAATCAACATTTATTTGAGTTTTAGCATTTATGGCTAATCTAGAACAAAAAAATTGAACGAATTAGTTAAAACACCTTGTAAACTGAGCCATAAGCTCCCTTCCCAACCCTTGCAATTTCCTCAAAATCTTTCTTGTAATTTGAATCAAGAAGATCATAATAGCTGGAGTACTTTTCAAAGTTCAAACTGAAAATTAAATTGCTGCTTCGGTAAGAAAGAACACATCCTTAACTTTAAAGTTATTGTAAAAAAATCATTAAAAAGATTTTAGTCTTTTACAACGACCTGTTAGAAAAATTGTCTTCTAGCTTCATGACAGCCAGCCCCGTGGAGTCTCCTTCAACCTAGAATTTTAGAGCAATAATTTTCGAACAAACTCGTAACAATATTTTGAAAAAAATAAACATTTATTATTATAACAATTTCTAGGGAAATTTTCCATTAAAATCCGAAATCAATCACTCACTCACTCACTCGCTCAATCAATCAATTAATCGACCAACGAGTTATTATAATTTTTTTATAATTTGAGTTTTTATAATTTTTCAAGTGGTTTTTATGTACTTGTCATTGAAATTCAAATATCCGAAATCTAAATACCCGATATAAATAACAAAATAATTCAAAGTCAACCGATCCATTTGTATGAGTAAATATGTTAAAAAAGAAGCAAACAAGCAACATACTGTGATCCTCTTCAAGGTATCCATGAGAACTGCCTCGATGCTAGATTTCACCTGCATCGTAGCAGATTTTATTATCGGATTGTCTATTTCTGCAGGAAGGATGTTCATGTCTGCCAGCGTTTTTGACACGCCAGTTTTTATAAAAAATAAAAACAAAAGCGATTAAATAAAAAAAAAATAAAATAGAAGAAGAGTACAAATTTGAAATCATACTGGCAATAAATTGTTTCTTCAAAACTTCATTCAGTGGTAAGCCATCAGCAATGATTTCTATGCAAGATTTCAGCAGATGAATTCTTAGAGTATTTATAGCATTAGCACTTGACCTGAAGGCAACTGTCTTTTTGAACTTTTTTTCATCCACATCATCATCATCATCCTCATCATAGTCATCATAATCATCATCCTCTTCGTGCAAACTTACACCATCATCTCCACCTAAACAATAAAATCGGAAATTGAACAATTGCATTTTTGTTTTTTTTATAAGCGCGCAAAGTATTTTGTAATCTAAAGGCATCACTGTTTGAAATAATGTGATAAAGTGACACAATAACGTTTGCTCAATTAAAATCGTCGGTCCATGTAAAAAAAACATTGTACCAGGTAATAACCATACCATGATAAAGTTTGTTTAATCATAAAAATCACAGAAGGTCATTAAATTATCAACAAACTAAATTATTATGATAATTATTATACACGCTGTACGTGTGCATCCAATCTCTAGTCACACGTACGTAAGTATTCTACGTTTACAAAAAATTCATCAAATCTGTTTTCAAACTCATGTTGACCGGACGTATTAGCGCAACCCTGCAAGTGAAATAAAATTTACAGACATTGTACTTAAAGACTGGTCTTGATAATTTTTGCCGTGACCTCATGTAGATAGATTGTTACTGTCAGTTATATGGTTCATTTGGTTGACCCAGTAAACTAAGTCACCCCTTGTTTTCCAAACCGTTGTGATCAAGAAAAAGCTTTTGTTTGAAGTCAAAAAATGCTGGTGCCTGAACCTGAAGTGCATAGGAAATTACTTTTATTCTAATGCCGTCTCCAGTACAAGTGTCATTCAAATATCATCTACTATGAAAATTTCAATTAAAATGTTGATCTTAACAGCTTAAGAATCTTAATAAAAGAATTTTAAAATAAACCAATTATTAATTTGTTAACATAAATTAAAAAATCTCAGAGTCATATGGGCGTCAACAAATCAATTTAATTTACGAAAGAAATTACTTGGCAGAATAAATGAGTAGCAGTATAGAAAAAACAGACAATGAAAGCAAGAAATCATAAAAAAAACTGATGCATCGGAAAAATTTATATGCCCTTGCATTTAAACCACTAAAAAATTTTTCAAAATTTAAAAAAAGCGGTAGGTATTATTGACAAAAATATTTTGAAATTCTTTCACAAATAAATAAATAATAAAATAGTACAGGCTTTATTGATGGTTTGGTGGCTTTCTAATTCACCCTGATTAAAAAATGGAGAGGAACATGGAATGAACCAATAACGTCTGGTCCCACAAACTCAGATCATTCTGAACAAATGCAGTCACAGCTATAAAAATATCACAGCTTGATGATAGAGCGTGAGCGGATATTTGTTTACCGTATAAGCGGTCAGAACAGTGTACAGTTTTTATAACGTTTCATTAGTATTTAATCTATTTTTTAAGTTTTGGTTTTCAACATTCTTACAAAATAAAGCATACCATAAACATCTTCAAACCTCAACAAACGTCCATACATATCTTCACATAACATCTGACGTAGCACACTACTAAAATATTATAAAAATTGCACGATCCAAATGTTTTAACGCTGTGATAGCTTAAAAAATTATTGCTACAATTGAATAGAATGCAATTTTCGTTATATGAATGATAAAACATTATCTTATAATTTACTAATTTACATGATAAACAAACGCACGCACACACACACAACACACACACACACACACACACACACACACACATATATATATATATATATATATATATATATATATATATATATATATATATATATGTGGCTCGCAAACTAGAGAACATCTTTAGATTAAAACGAGATGATGAGACTCGTAGAGCTTGGACGACAGTACTGAAACAAAAACATGATCTGTTCATGCAAAAAGAAAGGATGTATTGGCAGTCAGTTGTTTCATCGAATGTCAAGAACCCTAAGGGGCTGTGGAAAGTTATATCAGCATTGCTCGGGAGGAATGAAACTTTCAAGCCTAGCAAGATTTCTGCAGAGGAGTATTTGAAATATATTATTAAAAAGACAGAGCCAGCACATATCGATGATCTTTGTAGACCACAATCTCCTGTCATCAGAGAAGTTAGCTGTCATTTTGACCAGTTTGAGATTGTCGCACCAGATGAGGTGGCAAAATTAATGTTATTGATGCCAGCAAAAAGTTGTGGTACTGACCCTGCACCATCTTTCTTGATCAAAGAATTTTCTGGTATTCTGATGCCATATCTATATGCATTATGTAATGCATCACTACAATCGTCATGTCTGCCGGAGAGTCAAAAAAGGGCTATCATACTTCCTAAGCTAAAAAAAGCTGGTTTCGATGCGAGTGATGTTAGGAGCTATCAGCCGATTTCAAACCTCACGTTTGTTTCCAAGCTCATTGAAAAATTGGTGGCCAAACAATTGATCGCATACCTGAAATTAAACCGACTTTTCCCTGAACTTCAATCAGGTTTTTGCTCTGGACGCTCAACTGAGACAGCGATTCTAAAGGTCTTCAATGATGTTTATGAGGCTATTGATTCTGGTAGTATCTCTCTCTTGGCTCTGCTCGATGTCGGAGCTGCTTTCGATACGGTCAACCACAAGCTCCTTCTTGATCGACTTGCAAAGTCATATGGCATGGGTGGAATGGTCCTTGCCTGGTTTGAATCCTATATGTCTGACAGATCGCAAACGGTATGTGTTGATGGCTCTGATCCTGCTTCCTCCCCACTGTTGAAAGGAGTTTCACAGGGATCAATTCTGGTCTATGTTTTCTATACGGCAGATATTGTGGAAGTTGTTGAATCATCGGGTTTGAAATGTCACCTTTACGCAGATGATATACAGCTGTATAGTTACTGTAATATCAAAGAAAGACAGGAACTAGCGGACAGAACTCAAACAGGTGTCAGAACTGTCTCAGAATGGATGCTGGCAAATGGATTGAAGCTGAATATTGACAAGACACAATACATCTGGTTGGGTACTCGTCGAAAATTAACTGGTATTCAGGAATATGTAGAGCCAGTCAAAAATCTTGGTGTTTGGATAGATCCTGAATTGAAGGTGAATAAACATGTGAAAAATGTCTGCCGATCATGTTTTTACCAATTGCGCCAAATCAGACGTATAAAAAAGTACCCGACAAATGAATGCTTAATTTCATTGATGCACAGTTTCATTTGTGGAAGAATAGATTACTGCAGTTCAATCCTCTATGGTACAAGCTTGTATCTTCAAAACTGCATACAGTCTATTCTGAACACTGCAGCAAGAATAATTGCTGGTGTAACAAAATAGGAATCTGTTTCATCATATAGAGCTTTACTGGTTGCCAGTTTGTTATAGAATCGAATTCAGAATAGCAATGTTTACAAGAGACAGTTTGATGGGGCTTGGTCCTCGATACCTTCAACAGCTGATCGTGCCTGTCCCTACGGCTGCCGGGGGGGGGCGAAAACTCAGATCCTCTGCCAAAAAGAAACTCGTTGTTCCTAGGTTCAGGACAGAAAATTATGTACGGCGTCGTTTCTCCGTGGCTGCAGCGGAGGTTTGGAATAAACTGCCCGATGATGTCGTTGATAGTATGGATGAAAGAGACATGTTCCGAAAACGACTTAAACATCACTTTTTTGATCGGCAGCTTCTCGAACAGCGCCTCTGAGTTTTACATAGAGGGGTGCTATATAAATTCTCCATACCATACCATATATATTTATATATATATAGATAACGCACAAACATCACGTTATACCGTAATTTATTTTTAATTGACAATAACTAGGAAGAATCCATTTTACTTGATTAAATATTTGATGACTATGAAGCATGCTGCTCTGATTGATTGCACAAGAGCAACACGGTAATTATTGGTTACAATTTATATAACTCCAAAATTAAACATAGTTTAATAATAAGTTATAAATTAAACCTAAAAAAATTAAATGAAAATAAAGAATGGGACAGATCCAAGAATTTGAAATCTGCTGTATCCAGATAGAATCGAAATGATTGATCTGAACAGATTCTTTCTAATCCAAGCTGCACAGTAGTTAAAATTTTAGACATGTCTCTACCAAATATACCAAAGGTTCATTCAAAGAGAAAGAGACACATTCAGGCAGGAGAATTGAACTAATTACTTATAATTAAACTAGAACCATAAAAAATATAGTTTAACTGAAAGTTAATCTTCAGTTGTAAAATATTCATTATATGTATATGTATATCAAATGGAATCTGAAAAGTGTCCAGAAATGAAATGTTTAAAGTGATGAATAATAATAAAATCTGTTCATCAACTGCTCTTGTGAAAACAAATAACCTTCCTTCGAATGTTTTTATTGTTCTCTATTTTTGCAACAAGTTGATGTTAGCATCACAACTAAAATGGCTAATTTGAGTTGTGAATTTGATTAAATGAAAAAAAATTGAAAAGAAACTGATATAAATCCATGTATTCTTGCATTTTTACAAAACTTAGACTTAATTTTTGTTATATAATCTGTGCCTAACAATAATGCTGACCTTAAAGATGACCATGTGCTTAATCAAAGCATATGGTCATTACCCTTTTTAAGAATAGTAAAACAATTTGAAGTGCAGCTAAACACAGCAAGACAGCTCATTCTCTAAAACATTGCATTTCGACACGACTAAGCAGCTGTTGCATGGTCAAATATGTTGATTTTAGCAGAGTGAAAAATCTGCAATTTATGATTCAACTTAAGCCATAGCATCATGTGGTTTATAAAATTATAAATATGTAAATTATACTTCATATAATTATTTATGTTATCTATTATATTGCATAAAGTCAATTATCACTCCAAAAGACTTACCAGAAAGCAATTTTATTGCAGATTGAATATAGGCCAGTAAGAATTCTATGCGAAATTTTGAAATAAACAAGAAGAGATTTGACAAAATCATCAAGAATACAAATTTAAAGTGGGCTACCAGGTCTATGTCCAAAATGTTTGTAAACTCAATCGAAGTAAAATAGACAAAATAAGAGTTGGCCCATTTAAAATTTTTAGAAACATTTCACCATCGATTTTTGAAGTAGACTATGGAAAGAGGAAGAAAGAATCAAACTTTTTTCACATTAATAATTTGTCATTTTATGTACCTTGAAAAGTGACTTGAAGGAGGGAATTGTAAATTATATTTCATATAATTATCTATTTATATAAGTATTCCTTGAATTTCTATTCTTTGTATCTTGACTTTTACTATCTTCAATTATATTATTACTTTTTTATGTATTGTCAATTTTATTATTGTATGTTATTAGCTTGGTATTTGTACCTGGTATGTGTACCTGGAATTAAATTTTTCTATAAATCAGGACTTTCAAAAGCAAACTTATAATATAAATATTTAGTTAAACTTTAGAGTTTGTAACTAAAATTTTTTAAATAAACTATTTTTAATCTAAACTTTTATTGTTTTTTTAACATTAGCTTCGACCTGTCAATCCAATTATTTCAGTCAAAAACAGTTATAAAACATTTTATTTTTATATTTTTATTTAATTTTAGTATATATTATACATTTCATAGTTTTATAAAAAATTTTAAATTAATTAAACCTTAGACTAGAAGTCTCCAGACTGGAAAAAAGAAAGAAGCCTTTGCAGCTTTGCTCTTTTTGTTTTAATTTTAAATTATTTAATTTTAAATCTTAAAAAAATAAGCAAGGTAAGTAACAGGCAACAATTTAACTATATAAATAACAGTTTTAAAAATAATAGTAAGCCATATAAATTATACACAGTAACTATAGACCCGGTCGCCGTTTCTGAACGTAAAAATATTACAGAAACGGCGACCGGTTAATAAATTTTTAGCCCGCTAAAAATTTGAAAAATGGCAAAAAAAATCAAATATATTTATATTTTCTTTAGATATAGTGACAAATTTATTTTTTTAACATAAGTTTTTTAAACATACGCTTCGTAACCAACTTTTACTACGTAATTTTGTGACGCAATATATAGAGTATCTTTGGTTATACATTTCGTTCTCCATTGTTGCTCCTCGTGCTCCGTGTAGAGATTTAAAGTGTTTTAGTAATTTAGTAATTTTGACGCAAATTTTCTTGTTACTTTGTTTATTATGTCGCTTGTTGAAGGAGAAGAATTTGTTAGTTTTATAGATTTTAAGAAAAAATTATCTGAATATGAAAAAGAATCATTTGTTAATTATACTGTTGCTGATTCAACAATAACCCAATAAAACATTCAGGTGAGCAATTTATAATTATTTATGATAATTATTTTAATAATTTTGTTAAAAATTGTCATAATTCGTAACTGGTTGATTTTGTAATTAGCACACTTTTTTATCACAACATATCTTTGTCACTAAATTAGCACTAATTGTATTGTCTATTACACAATGAAAATCAGTTTGAGTAAAACTGCCATATGCCACGTGTGTGCTTATAATTGTAAAAAATCTAATGCTTTTTGTGTAGTGCTGAGTTGTAGTTTTTGGCACAAAGGTTTTGTTTAGTAATTTAGTTTGTTGAAACCAAGTAATGACAAATTGTTGGTAAATAATTACAGGATAAGGAATTATTTACCACAAAAAGATTATGACCACACTGCACTCATTGCTTATTTATAGTATCTAACCTCTCATGTTTTGTGAAAGATTATTATTAGATCATATTATTGTTATAATTATATCATATATATTTTATTTACAATCTTACCTTTATTTATACTTCAGTGATGATCTGATGTATTCCTAAATTAAGCTGGGTTGTCAACACTATGGCTCTTATAAAAGCAAAGGATCGGGTAAAAGGCCTAATCAAAAGTATTTTCATTTTTGAATTTTTTTTTTCATATAAGTAATGGTAAATGTTATAATTTATTTTTCAGTACCATCAAACGTGATTTTCCAGCAAAAATAGTTCTTGGAGCAAATAAGAATGGTGATAAATTAGTTGTAAGATCAATCATAAATGATCATAATCATGTAATAGTTCCAGAGACTTTTCAACACATCACAGCAAAGAAAATTATGCGAGGAAGAGAAACAACAAGCTGAGTTGATGATCGGTATGGGAGCCAATCCCACTAAGGTGAAGAGTATCTTTCGCAGGTATCTGGAAAAGTTGTAACAAGTGCTAATGTTCAAAACATAAAAACGTCAATGAGAGAAAAAAACAAATCGCAAAACCAAGTTGATAAGGTCTTATCAATTTTTCAAAAAATACCAGGAGCAACAGAATCATCATCATTGCCATGTTCAGAGCTTCTTTTTCCCCGAGCTTTTAAATCAAGAGGTTGACCAAAAGGAGCAACACTAACCTGTTTAGGTATGCCTTCAAAACATTGCAAATCTATATCTTTTGCTTTGAAGCCATCAAGAGAAAAGCAAAAACTGATGTTACAATGGTTATTTGGTAGTGGACAAGATTATAATATTAGCAATATTCAATCAGTACCAAGTCAGTTCTTAGATGGACAAGTACAAGAATGTCTATATTTATTGAAAGATTTTTTAGATCTAAATGTTTTGAAAGAAATGATAAATAAATGTTCCAATGAAGAATGGATGTGTGGAACCTGTAGCAATGATCTTAGGGATGTTCGAAGTGTTTCCTGTGATTCCTGTCTCAAGTGGTTCCACTTTTCTTGTGCAGGCATCAAAAGGCCTCCAAGTAAAAAAGAATGGTTTTGTAAAGCATGCAGGAAATAATAGCTGAACAATATAATAAAACATTTTATGTATGACTGTATATTATTGGATATAAACTATATTGTAGATTAGTGTATATATTTGTATTTTGTCGTCGTAATTCCTTTCAATGTTAAATAAATACAATTCGCCTAAAACGTTTTGAAAGTTTAAAAACTCATCCGGCAATTCGAAGTTGTATTTAAAATTAATTGGATAAGTGACATTTCTAACAATTTATGTATTTTCTTAAATGTGCTATAAAAAAATTTAGAAATTATAATTAAAACAAATAAGCAGTACAGATATAATATAATAAATATGTAATCTGTAAAAAAAGCAACCTGTGATTATAACACATAAAAAAACATTCAAAATCAATTAGATTCACTAGAAGCGAATATTTATAGAAAACATTCATTTATTTATGATTAAAAAATGCAATTTAATTAGATGATTTTTGGAGCATACCATGTACCTCCACGTAAAGTGAGCGAACTTTATTGAAAAACGGCCGCCGTGACCACAATTTTTTGCGTAAGGCCGCCGTGTCTATAAAACTTTTTAACATTTAAAATTGGCCGCCGTTTCTATAATTTTTTAACATTTGAAAACGGCCGCCGTTTCTATAATTTTTTAACGTTTGGAAACAGCCGCCGTTTCCATAATTTTTTAACGTTCGGAAACGGCCGCCGTGTCGCTAGGTTCGGCGTAAATTATAAATAAATTATTATAAAAATTGGAACCTTCAAAGACAACTGAACTTGAGTTATTTGCGTTGGAGTTACTTGAGTAATTTGTGTTGGAGTCCATTTGAATTGCAGTTGAGTTGAACCTTCACAATATTTTTTTCAAAATGTTGCAATGATGAGGAGTGCATAAAAAGGTTTATATTATCACTACGACCGGTGACTAAAACTAAAATAGAACCTAATCATAAGCATAGACATTTAAACCGTGCAAATCCGCGCATATACTAATTCTTACATTACATTACAATACAATATATAGAATACAATACAATTCAATACTATACAATATGATACAATGCAATTTTTTCAACCCCAAAACAAATTATTCATATTTCAATTCTTATAATTGCTAATCATCATCTTCATCATCATCATTTCTATATTACTAGATCCGCCACTTTACATATACACTTATATACATAGTACTTCCGCGTATGTTAAAAAAGGTTAGATTGATCACTTCTGATTTTACTTTCTCTCTCTCTCTCTCTCTCTCTCTCTCTCTCTCTCTCTCTCTCTCTTTATATATAGGTATTATATAATTATATATACCTATATTATTATTAATTAATAATAATGATAATATTATTGTGATTATTATTATTGCATTTAAGCAGCGCCAGTTTGAAAAAAATCGTCACAGGCGCTTCCATATATTAAATGCTATTACGAGTCGAACAGATAAGTTTTCAGCTGTCTCTTAAACTGACTTTGAGGGAAATCACCACTGCGCAAAGTGGTTTGAAGGCTATTCCACAACCCTGGTCCAAAACAGCAAAACTTCGAGATCCAATCTTGCCAGGTGCCTATAGGTAAAATTTGTGTTTTAGTTTGGTTAATCTGAATACCATTTTGTGTCATCATACATCTATGTCCGACAAACAATTTGCGAGTCGATCTGCAATCGGTCTAAGCATTTCAGGCAAAGTTCTAGCTACAATCTGGATATCATTCGCATAAGCATCGGTGTTGTATAGATTACTTTTGGAAAGTAATCTGATTACAAATTACAAATTACTTTTAAAATTAGCTTGAGATTACAAATTACAGATTACTTTGCAATGATGTGTCCGATTACAGATTACAGATTACATCATCAAACTTTTTGAAATTACAGATTACATCATAAGAATTTTATTTAATGAATGTCACATAGTTTTATGAATTATTGAATTATTAAATTGTAATTATTCATAAAATAATTTAAAAAATTGCATTTTTTTTAAATTTCATGAAATTTCAAACAAGTTTGAACCAGAAGCGACTTTGCTTATCCTGCTTCATAACGTTCTTGAGCAGTCCAACTTTTTAACATTACATGGGCGGTCTAATTAAAAAGCCTACGACGTCAATGGATAAACTATTTCTTTTGGATAAGTCTTTTTTTTAGTTTTTTAACTTTAAATTTTAAAAATCTTAGGTATTGTTGTCGTTAAAGTAATCTAAAATAAAGTAATCGTGACACCTGTTTAGATTACAGATTACACAAAAAATGTAATTTGATTACAGATTACTTTTATAAATGATGCGATTACAGATTCAAAAAAATGTAATCGATTACGTAATCGGATTACATGTAATCCGATTACTATACAACACTGATAAGCATAACCCTTAAAATCGTACCAATAGTGTACAAAATAAACAAAATTGGTCCAAGAACGGACCTCTGCGGTACACCGTATTCCAGATATTCCTTGATAGAAAGTACATCATTAAAATACACCTACATACACGAATATTTCGATCTGTCAGCACACATAAAAAACACATATGCATTATCCTAAAAAACAGACATGTAAATAAAAAATTGTGGATGACTAGATAATAGAAATGGGAATAAAACAAAATTGAAAAAACATATTTAAATTATGTTATTTAATACACACAAAAAATAAAGCATAAAGCATAAATTTTAAACCTCAGCGCTTCTCAGTGAATTTTGCAGATGGGTCTTGAGATCCGCTTTCAACTTCGTAAATGATGGAGAAGTAATCAGAGAAGGAGGTAAAGAGTTCCAGAGAAAAGGGCTAGAAAAATGCAAACGCTGATTTAGCATAAGAGTGTTTAACACTAGTTAAGAAAAAGTGAGAATAAGAAGACGATTGTGAACCGGGGCGTTTAGGTTCAATTAATATATCTGATAAGTACATAAGAAATAATTTAGATTGAAGCATGTGCATTAATGTGCAAATTTAAAAATTATTCTATATTTGATAGGCAGCCAGTGCAAGGGATCACGTGAAACATAAAAATAGAATGAACGAGAAACTTCATCATTATAAAATATAATAATTCAAAAATCTTCAAAAATTTGATCTTCTAACATGTTTCTTCAAACATGTTTCCTTTCCAATCCTATAATTCAAAAATGAGTGCAAAAATGAGTCATTATAATGAGTGCGGTTTTTGAAACATTTACTCATTCATATTTATTGTTAGCGCGATATGAACATTAAAATTAATAAACACAATTTGAAAAAAATATAAAAAATTTTTTAGAAAATCAAGTTCAGTAGCGTGTATAACCTGTTCTTATGTATTTACAGTGCAGTTATTTGTTTAAGCACCAATGTGAAATATGAGCTATTGCAAACCGGCTGATAACAAATTTTGAAATATTTTGATATTTATTTATTAACTTCGTGGCTGCTTCAACACTTGTGGGCGATGTTAGGTATAAACGTACTGTACGTTATGTTGTGTCGACACATGTTCCATCTCGGCCAACCACACAAGCACACATACCGACACACACACACACACAACACACACACGCATGCAAAACGATGGTGCTTTTATGTTACATAAACTTACAAACATACGTATATATAAAACACATATATGTTTGAATATAAACTTATATATATATATTCATATGTTATATATACAATATATATATATGCGTCAACTTAATTGCTATATAAGACCTGGATTACAACGTAAAACTGAAGGATTTTTGTTAGTTAAGAAGTGGTGACTGCTTTTTTTCTCTCATTTCAGTATCATGGAGAGTATTGAAAACTGTTGTTAATCTTTTAAAATGCACCTAATGCTTAGTTAGTTATTAACAGATTTTAAATTTAAAATGTTATTATCCGTGTTCAATTCAAAATGGATTTAAACAGTTTAATCACGATTTTCCTTGTCTGCTTGCTGGTTGGTTGCCTTCAAATTTTGATTTTTTCATTTTTTGTTACATACATTTTGATTAGAGTGTTTCAACATTTTAAATAACAATTCACAAGCTGTTTGAAAATATTTTATCGAAGTAGCATATCCAATTGATCATGAGTTTATTGATTGTGGTGTGTCGAATTATGAAGATGATGATGACGTCAATGATGATGGTAATGATGATAATAGTGATATGACGATGATGATGATAAGCAGGAAAGTATAGAGCAGTTTCTAAAATATTTGAACTGTATGTTGAATGCAAAAAATGATTTTGATTGCTCGAACTAAACATTTTATTTAAACATCTTGAGCTCTGTCCGTTCCTCCCATCAAAAACCTTTACTAAACGATGATGACACACAGAATTATGAAACCAACATCTTATAAAAATATCAAGCAATGTATTGCATATCAAATTCGTTCCAATGAAAACATTTAAAAAATATATCAGCCTTTTTCGAATAACCAAGTGCATAAAAATTTACTCTTGATTTCAAACTTTACGACTTCTTCACGTTGATTCATATTATTTTTTTCATAACTGCAACAGCTTAGAGTTATGTGAATGTTGTTGTTGCTGAATGTGCTCCCTATTTGTATCATTTGTTTGCGTGAATGCAAGTTAAATAGATTTATTAAACTCGTAGGTAACCGAGAAGTCACTTGTTAAGCTAATTTAATAATTCGTCTATATTGAGATAAATAATTTTGTTAGTTCTATGTTACAAGGAATGACGTAGTTTTTAGTTTTGACCGGCTTTGTCTGAATAAGTTTTGTGGTTTTCACAGCTTCCGTCGTTTTGTCTTCTAACAAGAAACACGTGCTTTCATAGGATGGAATGCTATGGAAAGAGTTTGTGCTTACATAAATGTTTGTTCATCAGACTGGCTGCCTGGTGCAAGTGGCATGTTTACGCTGTGTGCTATTGAAGAAATGAAACATAAACTTGAAAAAAAGAAAATATAAAATAGCTTGACTAAATATGTGAATGAATTTAATTTTTAACAATTTTCGAACACTGTTACACTGCAAATTAAAACAATTATTTATACAATCAATTTAACTACAGATTAAGTTAATTTTTATTC